TGTATCTGGTGTCATGATCCTTATTGACCAGGAGGGGGTGCACTCCCCTTTATTTAATAAAATTCCCAGTACAGCAGTTCTACTTTATCCCATGCAATTCCACCTTACATAGCAACCTATGCATGTGAAAAGGAAATACAACCAGACCACCAACAAATGGCTGCTTCTTCTAGTCACACAAAACAGAGAGGAAGCTGCATCAACTGAAAAGCATCAATGAAACGTCAGCTTGATGTTTGAATGACTCTTGAAATGTCATTAGGACCAGATACATAACAAGAGATTTTAAAGTCAGGGTTGTATAGTTCCCCTTTAAAATGACAATATTGTAAAGTGCGTCCTATTACACGAGAGTTGCAGTATAACACAGGTGAAATAACTATAGCAAGATTTTTTACATCTGCAAGGTCAATCCTTAAGTGCAATATTTTTAAAAAGCAACAAATGATACTGCATTTGATGCTCACACAAACCTCCTTTAAGAATGAGCAAGAGTTCCAAGTGCAAAGGGAATGCAGGATCAGCCCCAATGAACACTGGAGTTTATCCTATCATATCTAATGTTTATAAATTTATTTTATTATTACAATTAAATTCTGACAATGTTCTTGTTGCTGTACAAGACAAACAGCAAATAAATAGTCCCAGTCCAGCAGAGCTTACATTACAGTCTAAACAACAGACCCAGATAAAACATGAAACACTAGTGATTCTATAGTTATCAGCAAATATATTTTTTAAAATGATCAAATGTCCTCTCTCTGGGTAGTGATGGAATTTTATTAATATGCACTAGTGTTGGTGGGTGTAGAGAAGTACTTAAGATGAATTTGAAATATTTTAAGCCTCAAACAAATTAGTACAAAATTGACATTTAGAATTCAGACAATTTGTGTATGGTTTGTTGTATTTTCCCCCCAAAGAATTCTCTCTCCATTTCTAATACACCCAATACCACATAGCATCAAGTTGCTATGTAACTTCCAATAAGAGATTTTATAAAGGTTTTCCACTGAAAAGCTTTAAAATCATGCCAAATGGTTCAATTTTATCTCCTTAGATTTGAATGACCATTTTACTCTACAAAATATTTTGTGAAAATGGCTGTAAGGTTCTACATTTGTGATTCAATTATTTCTGTATCAAATTTCCTCCGTTTACAATTCAAAAATACTATTTACCTGTCATTCCTTCACCCTGTTCTGCATTTGAAAGTCAAGTGGAGTTCTTTGATTTATGTATCATCACCATTAATAAAAATTTTGTCAGTTATACCTGTTCAAGTGCATGGCCTTCACATTGTATGCTCATTTATATTCATGAAATCTTTTTGTCGTCAGCTGGATTGCAAAAGTGCAACCGATAGCATAATTTGAGGGCAATGGAGATACACCAGTTGTCTTGCAATTGGACAATTACAATAGCTCTCAAATTCTGCTGATGAACATGAGGCAGGTGCTTCTGCAGGACAAATGGGATGAAGCAAATAATGTTTCAAGTAGTTACATGTGAATCTGAATGCACACAATGATCACATCTGCTACAGTTGTACCACTAGTTTATTTTTAACTACCTACTTATTTTTTTAAAACTCAGTCTTATTCATACAGAAATTAATACTGGGATGTCCTACGGCCTGTGTTGTACCTGAGATCAGACTAGATGATCGCAACTGGGTTTACAATTCATGAATCATATATGCTGGGCCTGACTTCCAGCCAATGTGTTGCCTAATAGATTTTTCTTTGGCTTTCTCTCTCTTTAGGACACTAAATGAAGACTGTGCTCACAGGAGGCTGATCCAACCCAGGTTACTCTTTGGAGCTGATCCCTCTTCTTAGCCTGAGAATGGAAGAACATAAGAACGCTATTACACATGTTCAAATGACAGGTCTGCTGATGGAAGGCAGGGGGGAGAATAACAGGGATAGTTGCCTCAGGGCCCGGCAATTCAAAGGAGCCTGAGATTCTGGCTCCCACAGCTGTAACAGTAGCACAGCCTGTAGCCGGAACTCTGGGCCCCTTTGAATTGCTGCCAGAGAACTGCACCACGCAGCTCTGAGGTCTATATGGATATCCAGCACTGTGGGTTGGGCAGCGCTGAGGCCTGGCTGCCTCCAAACCCACCCCTTCCACCAGGGCCCCCGCTGTCAAAAGATGACTACAACATAGAATATTTTGCAGGCCATTGTAACAAAATATTACTAGCTCTTCTGTGTTGTAACTATCTCATAGATAACCTTGGCATACATTTAGCTAGGCCTTTGCTTTCCTACATTTCTATATATTTTTTGTGGGTTACCTTGCAATGCAGTGTACACTAATTAAATTCTGTGGAAACAAGTCACAATAGTATCAAAGCCTGTTAACAGTATGAAGGTGGATAACGTGAACTAAGGGCAAATTCAGCTGACTGTGCTGAAAAGTTTAACTCTTGTCCCAATGCAAATATTTGATAATGGATTCCTCAGTCTAGCAGACAAAAGTATAGTAAGATCTACTGGTTGGAAGTCAAAGCTGGACAAATTCAGACCAGAAATAACATGTACATTTTTAGCAGTAAAAGTAATTAACCTTTGGGACAATTTACCAAGGCAGGTGGTGGATTCAACATCATTACGATTAAAAAATAGCAATTGGATGTTTTACTGAAAGGTCTGCTCTAGTTCAGACAGGAGTTATTTCTGGGCAGTTCTCAGTTCTGTGATTTACAAGTCAGACTTTTCCCAGATCTTACATGCTACTGGTGCACCTACCTCCCACTGAAATCAGTATCAGGGAGACACCCGA